CATGTTTATATATATGTATTGTCACTTATAGTTTCTAAAATTTCTAATTAAATAAAAACGAAAATAAGTTAACAAATAACTAAAAGTAGTACATATAAAACTATATGAATATTTAAAATTACATCAATAAATATATTTGATTATGAGCTTAGGATAACGATAAAATTTTATATATTTAATTTCAAAAATTGAAAATATGTAAAATGAATATACATATAAGAAAAAATGAATATAAATATAAAATACATAAAAAAAAATAATATTGGTGTCAAACGATTGTCAAGAGGTTGTTGATTTAAAGAGAAAAAATATATATTATTTTAATAAAAGGATATTGAACCATTTCACTAAAGATAGATAATAAGATGAAACTTATTTTTAACAAGGTTTTCTACTTGTTTAGGAAGGTGTTTAGGAAGGCCTTCCTAAGCAAGTGAAAATCCTTCATAAACTTATTTTTACGAAGGTTTCCTATTTGTTTAGTAAGACCATCCTAAACAAGTGAAAATCCTTCATAAACTTATTTTTAGGAAAGTTTTCTACTTGTTTAGGAATGTGTTTAAGAAGACCTTCGTAAACAAGTGAAAATTTTCCTAAACTTATTTTTAAAGAGGTTTTCTACTTGTTTAGTAAGACCTTCCTAAATAAGTGAAAATCCTTCCTATAGTTTTTTTCAAAAAGGTTTCCTACTTGTTTAAAAAGATGTTTAGGAATGCCTTCCTAAATAAATGAAAATCCTTCATAAACTTATTTTTAAGAAGGTTTCCTACTTGTTTAGGAAGGTGTTTAGGAAGGCTTTCCTAAACAAATGAAAATCCTTCATAATCTTTTTTTTTAGTGAAAATATATATAGTTTAAGAAAATAACATAAAAGTAAATAATGAAATCTACATCAACATAATGTAATATATGTTAAATAAGACAAAAATATTAATATAAACAAAACGTAAAAGATTTAATTTTTAATGATAAAATATTAATACATTTAAAATAATATCATAACTTAATTAAAAGCATACATAAAAACATATATAATTACGTATATATTAGATTTTCAAACAAGTATAATATATTTTATTTTTGGTTAGTTAAATAACTTTAATAAAGTTGTGAAACAAAAATTCGCGCACCGCGCGAGCATATTCTAATATTATCATATATCAAACATAGTTATAG